AAACAAAAAAATAATTTTGTATAGCAGATTATTACAATATGACTTACTTTGGCCATAGACGCAATAATATAATTTATTAAGTGCATATAACAACAGTATTTATTATTAAAGGTAATTTTTCAAATTAAGCATAACTTCATGATTCATAATTTAAGACCATAGTATACTGGGAGATGGTAACATGAACCATGTTGAAATCACTAGTCACCAATTTCAGAAAATAATAACACTCTAGACACTAACAGCTGGATACACAGTTCATACAGCAGGCCTGGTTCATCAGCCCAGGTTCAAATGTTTCTCAAATGAATATTAAAATTATGCTCAATTTCCCGCCAGTTTTCCTTGATCATTGATGACTTGTTAAAACACAATAGCACTCTTGTTTTGAAAATCCGAAAACCATCATCATGAGAACCAGTTTCACCACTAGTACTGATATATTGAATTAAGATTACATACATTTCCCAGGGTTTTACATCATTTTTTAGATGTGGGGGTCATTGGGACCCCTTGTCTGAAAATTTGGGGGTCATAAGTGCAAATTTGAGGGTCATACACAAATCAAGAAATTGATATCTGTTAAATAGGGAAAACAATACAATAGAGAGTTTATGAGATGATTTGAGTTCAATGGAGGAGTACCAGTATGAAAAAAACAAACATCTAATTTACTAAGTTTTATCGAGGTCTTCATTCATACAACAATTTCTGAACATGCATGAAATCGGTAAAAACATCGCAAGGGAGATCCCGTTTATCCATAACATAAACAGTTCGCAGCTGAGCTGCGTATGATTACAGATTGTCACTTGTACTTTGATATTTCCTCTCGTTTGTTTGCTACCTGACGAGCGGCCGTAAAGTCCAACTTCATGGTCAACACACGGACACTGATGTGACTTCTCGAGTCTTGATGCCGGATGAGAGTTGAGTTTCGAAAATTTAAACATCCGTCAGTGAAAGGGTTTTTGGCTTTCGCTCTCACACAAACTTCACATTCCATAACGCTTCGGTCTGATATGTAACGAAGCCATTTAAAACGATTTAGCCACCCATCGTTGAAAGAAAGATCCTTCTTTAGTAAAACGTGGGGCTTTCACTGGACGTAGCTGGTGAAGCTTCGACGGGAGAACTATCAGACGGGCTATAAACACAAAGCGTCTACGTAGTACATTTTTTGTGATTGGCGTAAATGGCGACGCACATACGAAATGATGATTTTGAGCGTTCCATTTAAAATCAAGGGAGGTTCTAGTGTTACAAGAGCTCATTTAGCAACTACTGCAGATCAAATGGAGGGGTGGATTACTCACGACTTTTCGCCAAAATTCTTTCGCAATATATTGCGTCATGTAAAACCCTGATTTACATTTTGTATCCTGTAGTACAGTTATTATCTCAACAATGGGTGTCTATCAGTCACTGATATACATGCTATTTATACCATGTGTGTTCATGTAACAATAATCTCATAGTTTGATGTTAATTATGATATAGCAGTCTCCTGCCAATTCCTTTATTGTCTAATAACTGGACAGCATGTGCTATCAACTGACCAATGAGAATTGTTGTAGCACAAGCTTTTACAATAACTTTTAAACCCCCTTGATCCAAAATGCACATTGTCTATATCTTTAGTCTGTTTAGACAAGCGAGTTACTATTCCGTCGATCAAATGTCAATTTTACTTGTCCTGGGCTATAGGACTAGCCTTAGTGTCTAGCTCTGGTTCAAATGATGGGAGTACGGAGTTAACAACAAAACTTACCTAATGACTTATCTGGAGAAAAAGGACTTGGGCTACTGTAAAGATAACCACTCTGTTCCACCACCTTACGCACTAAACTATAACCGTTGCTATGGACACCAGATGATGCAACTCCCAAGATCACATCACCGGAGGAGATTTTCTCCATTTGCGGCAGAGTGTGTTTCCTGTCTACAGCACCGACAGCGAAACCAGCTAAGTCGTAGTCACCTTCTGCGTACATGCCAGGCATCTCAGCAGTCTCACCACCTAACAAGGAGAAAACACCACATCAGTCAAACTTGTTCAACCAGAAGTATTTCAGCTCCAGAGTCCAAAATAAATATTTTCAGCAGATGTTACACTGCCAATGTTTTGTCAATACTAGCTATGAATTTTCACAATCTGAGGACTTGTAGGGCGTTTGGTAAAAACAAAATTTCTAACAAACATTTGTCTCCCCTCAATTTCAAATGTACACCTCTTATCATGTGAGCAAAAACTTAAAACTTGTCCATTCTGAATTTTTTTCAAACTATAATATTAAAGAGCAGTAGTCATCGCGCCATGCATGTGTGACATTTGTGTTGATAAACATTGATTTTCTCACAACCCCATGCGCTCTTCTAATGGAAATTACAAGTATGAGGTTTGACCTGGGTGCGACTTGCACTAATTATCGCTGGTGACTACTTCGATATCTTCCAATCACCGAAAAAATACCTAATTAAAGCTTGGTAATGTCTCAATTTGTACTCAATCGTTGATCTTCGCAACAGTCAAAGTTGTCATCTTTGTTTATATGAGACCCATATATCTTGCGCGTGCCTGGCGCGATGACTACCGCCCTTTTTAGTAAGTGCTAATGATGAAAAGTGGACTATGTCGACTTACCAAGAAGTGCACATCCAGCAAGTTTACAGCCTTCTGCCACGCCACAAACCACATCTCTTGCAACGTTAACTTGAAGCTTTCCGCATGCGAAGTAATCGAGGAAGAAGAGAGATTCTGCACCGTGTGCCAGGATGTCATTGACGCACATTGCTACTAAGTCAATGCCAATCGTCTGGTGTCTACCACACGCCTGGGCAACCTTCAGAGAAAGTCAAACAAAGTAGTTGTGATAACAGATCAGACCTGTGAGGTAATCTTACTGATTGTGAAATGTGTATTATTGAATCATCAAGAGAATGAGCAAGTTTAACCAATGTTTATGTCCTAATCTGTCACATCTGTTATGTAAAAAGAATTTGAAATAAGTGAAATAATGCTCAACGAGGTTTGGCATGTATGTAGGTATACACCCTCACTGATGTGAAATTATTTAGTTTTATTAAACACGAATATTTTGTGCATTTTATATAGGCAAAAGTTTGACATTTACAATTTTGAAATGCACAACCCTGATTTGTTTCAGGTCATGTAAAGTTTGATTGCGATCAGTCAATGACAAAGACATGGGTCTAGAATAGCATTTGCATTGGCCATTTTGAATCTGGTCTGAAAAAATTATGATCCTGTTTTATATATATATACCCGTATATGTTCATTGTATCATGGAAGGTACTAACGGTACCTTCCATGGTACAACCAAGGTCTGACACTGGAATGGCAGAAATGCTTGAATTTGATGAATTTTAACATTAAAATGGCTGCCAGTTGGTCATTTTGAATCTGCTCGTCAAATAAGTTTTTGTACACATGTATGACACAATGTACCTATAAAGTTTGAACGTAAGATATGTCAGAGATATGGCTCTGGAACAGAATTTGTTAAAAAAAATTGTCGCCAGTCAGCCATTTTGAATCCGATCTGAAAAACAAAATCACATGCATCAAGGGTGCATTATGTCCAAAGTATGTACAAAATCCATGCGCCCCTTCACCCTGGGGAGCAGAGTCTGGCAAACATAAAATTCTGATTGACCAGGGATCACATGTGGCCAGAGTCTTCAACTGTGACCTGTCTGATAGTAATTTTGGCCCCAAGGAAGCCATAGAATGCTACATTTTAACTTAGAATTATTAAAAACTCCACACTCTGGTAGAGAGAACCCGATCACCTTTTGGTGGCATCGCTAAATTGCAGTGATCCTTTTTGCAGTTTTTTTCTAAAAAAAAGCAGAAAAGCTTGATGTTGATGAATTTTAAGCAAAATTTGGCAAGAAAAATATTAATCAATGTGTTCCTCAATTAATATGACATATACTGTATTAATGTATATTATTAAATATATTGCATGAATTGTAAACAGTTTTCCAAGTAGTGCAGTAACATATTCAAGCAAATCGAAATACTAGCCAAATTTGAAAAAGATAGGAAACACTGCTCTCAAGTCACTTTTTTTATTTATACCCACAACATATTGGTTTAATACACTTTCCTACCTGATGAGCTTAGAAAGCATATTAACTAAAATATCGTACTTGTTATATTTATTACTCATAAATAAAGTTACACGATCCATGCATTTGATTCGATTTTGTATTTTAAGCAGTGTAATGACAACAGACTGCTCGAATGGCTCACCTTCAGCTTGGTGCCGACCCCATCGGTGCCAGAAACTAACAATGGGTCTTGATAGCCAGCTGCTTTTAAATCAAACACACCACCAAATCCACCAATCACTGCATCACATCCTGACCTTGATGTTGATTTCACCATAGATTTAATCTTATCAACCAATAGATTGCCAGCATCTATGCTTACCCCACAACCACTGTAACTTAAACCTTTTTTAGGATCTCTGTAAATAAATAAAAACAAACAATTTGGATTTTTTGTTTGTGGCGAAATTCATTGTGGGCAGGCTGCGACATAAACTCAAGAATCTGGTAAAACCACAATTCCGGTAATGATGTAATATTTTGATAATCATTCTTCTCAAAGTTACAGCAAAATATTCCAAAAAGCCCGATTCACAATTTCAATAAGCGCGACGTATAGGAAAAAACAAGCAATAGTTAACAATTGCCCA